TGTAAAGAACTGCCCTGGAAGGAGATGGCCATGAGAGCTTGGAAGTCAACGACAGCGATCTTCAGTCTTCATCCTGTTGTTGATGGAGAAGCTCCTACTAAATAAATAAGGCATTCCTTAAATTTTTTGCAAATTGATGGGTTACTAACAGATGAAATGTATTTCAACTGGTTATTTGTAGGTGATCTTATATAAGTTATTATTTGGTTGATGATCAGGCGCTACTGTACAGATTGTAAACTGGTAAAATCACACTGCCAAGTTCAATGGGATTTTGGATCAAAACTTTTTATGGCTTTCGCTTGCTTTGCAGACTACTTTGTATCCGTATCATGGCGCGAACTGTTAGATTGTTCCAAACGCTGCGAGTCTTATTTGGATTGCTATCAGATTTGTGAAAATTTTGAATGTGGCCTTCTTCACAAACAAAGTCAGTTTTAACCTCAACCACGCCTGTGAAAGCTCCAAACGCTTTGGCGTTTTATTGAAGGAGCAGCAATAAGGCTTTGGGACTTTTAACGACACATGCTTGTAAATTTATGCTGCTATCGAAAAAATCTTAAGATTTCTTTTATAGATTCCCTCTATATTTGAGGAAAGGGACAACAATTGTCTATTTCTATTCAGAGTAAAGTATAAATATTCATTTTGTTTCTTTGAGGCAAGTGATAATTGAAGAGATTAGTAAAACTGATTAGATCTTAGTTTAGTTTTGGAGTGGTAAATTGACAAATAGGACTAGTTTGAAGTGTAATTTTTGAAGTAGGCGGAAAGTTTAGAAAGTAAATAGTAGAAAGCACCTTTTTTCTCTTTTGGTAAAAAAGAGAAAAAGAAAACGAAAAGATTTTGATCTTCTCCTTTTCGCGTTGTTTGATTGATGAATGGTTGGCTAAACACGAGCTTCACTTATTCTAACTATTTCATTTTAAGATCAGAATCCCACGTAGCTTGGATAACGATTTTTGAATTAGACGTCACGCTACTTCATGTGGAAGCACTCTATTTATATTCTTATGAGAAGTCAATGCTGCAATACGATTGGATCCGAGACAAATTAAGATATGTAACTGAGCATTAATCCCTTAATTATCTTGTAATAAAAATGAGAGAGAAATCACAGCTGTTACTAAGTAAACATGTAGAGATAAGCCATTCTCTGTGCTCTACAACAAAGCTCAAATCTCCTTCATAGTCCTCCAGTTGCCACCATTCAAAACCAATCGCCATCAGCCCAATGACAATCAGCCACCTCGATCGTTCCGGCCACTCCTCAGCATTTCGCAGAATCAGAATCTATTTTCCCACACTATGGATATCTCAGCACAGTCTCACCTCCCACACTCACAAACCACCACGAACTCACCACCACACCACGCAGTACTTATACAGCGTCGCGCAATCTCGCAGTCCGCCGCGCCGCAACGCGCGCCGTATCTCACTCCTCTTTCCAACCAAGCAATTTCTGCTTCTTTAAATCCAAGGCCAGTCTTCAAGATTACCCTTTCTCACTCACGCTTCCAACCTCAACCTCATCAAAACCCTCACCCTCACCTCCCTCCTTCCCCAAATCCTCTCACCACCCGGGTCTCCGACCCTCGCAGATCTCAGTGAGGCATCCCTGGTCGAGCGACCGAGGCCAGATCGCTGCTACCATCCATCGCGCTCTCGACCCCTCGCAGCCCTCGTGGATTCGGCCTCGTCGTTGGCTCATCCCTCCTAAACTACCCATCAGAATCGTCAGAGTTTGGAACTTACGATTCCCCACGCGCCTGCCAACTCGCTGGCAAGCGCTCGTTGAACCTCGGAATGTCCTGGTTGCAAGGGAAAATCTCGCAAACCGTCCCGTCCGCTGGTCGCAAACCTTATCCCCTCTCCCGCTCATGCCTCACAAGGCCGATCCCGGCACCAAACACGGGCCATCTCCTTCCGCCGTCGCTGCGCTCGCTGCCGCTTCCGCGTCCACGGGCCCACGGTCCGCCTCCTTCTCCGCGCCCTCGTAGGGCTGCGGCTGGTTCGGCTCATTGAAGACCTGGATCGGCGCCAAGCCATCTTTCTCTGTTACCCGCGCGAGTCGAAGGAGCGGTGTCTCGTTAAAATTCGACGTTGGCCTTGCGTCGAATGCCTGGCTAGGTACGCCGTCGGTGAATGGAGTACTTTGGCATGTTTCATTATCTTCTTGGTTGATGCCTGGCAATTGGCGGATAATTCCTACGAGGGATGGACGGAATAAGAGAGCTCCGACGAACAGTACTCGGCCCGATACTCATCGTCCTCACCTCGCTGCCGTCGCCCTCCACTGGCTATGTCAAAGCTCTCAGGAGGTATTCGGACTGAAGATCGCTGTCGTTGACTTCCAAGCTCTCATGGCCATCTCCTTCCAGGGCAGTTCTTTACAGTGAAACTGCTTCGCTCACGCCAACATAAGCTTTGAGGGCGCTACTGTGGCTCTCAAGATACCGGTATTTCAACTTTCCGCGATACGGTCCGCGCCACCGGAAGCCCAGAAGGACCAAACTCCTGCCGGCCAAATTGGCTACCCATTCTTCAAATGGGCTTGTTCCACCTTCACGTCGACTCGCCGTAACTTCCCTCCCACCCGAAACCATCTTTGTCGAGTGATCTCCAGATCGCAATTCAGCTCCTAGGCGAAATCGGAGGTCCCCTGACAAAACGACGTTCATTATCCAATCACTCGCATACAGCCGCTCGCCACCTGAGTCACCAAACCAACACTGCGCCGCCCGAATGTGTTGCCCCCGGCGCAACGCCTTGGTGAATTCAACCCCAAGCTGTTCGATTTTCGCGCATAGAGACGACTGGCCTAAACTAGCGGTGCTTGGGA